TTTCTCTCTCTCTCTCTCTCTAAATTCAAGACTTTTTAAGAAGAAAATTAACTAAAGCCAACATTGCCATTATGATACACATTATTTCTTGCTTCGCGGTCCACAAAACCCTCCCGCTGAGGAGTGCAATAATTTCCCCACGTAACTCCTTTTGCTGAATTTTTTTTTTTCTTTTTTCCCAACGTAACGGACAATAGTAGGTATTATCATTAAATATGTTTAATTTTGACGTAGTCGCAGTTCTGCGTGCATTTCTAATTGTAAGTGTATACCTTTTTTTTTTTTTTTTTTTAATAATAGCAGCTCTTCTCGCGTCCCCGTGGTTTTGAGTCTCAGGTGTACGATAAAAAATAATTATGAGCGGACTGTAAAAATAACGAACAGTCCCTACTGGGTTGTCAATAAAATTGTTTTTTTTTTTTGCTCGAAAAAAAAATGCATAGGTACGTATATATAAGCACGAAATTACTAAAGAACTGCACTGCTAACTTGTTGAGTAAGGAAATGTATTTTTTTTTTTTTTTTTTTTTTTTTTAATTGAAACACGGTTAAAAGGTTAAAATTTGAAAAAAAAAAAAAAAAAAAAACTATAATTTCGAAGACAGTTGTTTGGAAAAAGAGAGGTTCTTACGTATATTTGTATATCCACTATTTACAGGTACAAAGAATTTGTTGTTTTCCGAGAAAAAAATGAAAATTTTTAGTAAAATCGATTATCATGTCATAAGTGTCAGGAACACACGGTGATAAGGTTTTTTTATTCTGTGCTATCTGTTATCGCATCCGTATGATAATAGAGTAAATTAAATGTAATTTTAATTTTTTAATTTTTTTTTTTTTTTTTTTCAGCTCTACCGACAAATTCTTCTCGCAACGCATTAATTTTACTGTATTTTCATTTATTATGCCGCATGTACGTTGTATTGTTTTATGTTGAATTCTCGGAAGACATAAATAAACATTATGTTATAGGTACAACTTACTCAAATATAATTTGAAAGTCATAATATACTCTCACGGATATACTAGGCATAACCGGTGCATCACCCTATAAAGTGTATGTCCGAAAGTCGTGTGGCTCTTTTTCTTCGAGCAAGTATCTATATGAGTATAGGTACATAACATTTAACATATAAAAATTGCATAAGCTATAGGTACTAATATTACATTGCGGTATAATTATGTATAAGCCAAGTACAACATTATGGTAAACAATAGTTAGTCAATATATACCGCGCAGGAGCAAAAGAGAGAGAGAGACGGCATTTGAGCTCGGGAGAGAGAGGAGAGAAGGAAGGAAATTGCGGATGCTGTGGAGGACGAGAGAGAAGCGTCAGAGTGTGTGCATATATGCGGACCAGTGCGGCCGCTGTTGTTGCTATACGACTGCAGCCGACGCGGCGTGCGTGGACATATACGTATATGTATGTATATACGTGTACATGTATAACGTAGCGTCTCAAATGTCAACAACAATTAGCAAGTTCAAGTGCGCGTGTAATTATATACGGATAAGATAATGTTACACGCAGGAAAGTCTACAAGTAGTGTATGTAGCAGTCGCCGAAGCCCTGAACAAGAAGACGACGCCAGCTATAGAGAGCCAGAGCCAAACAGCAGCACAGCAGTCAGTCGGTGGCCGCCTATTATTGTACTTACATGTCTATGAAGTAGGTACATACGGAATAAAAAAACAAATCTTAAATCTAATGTAGGTACTGACACTTGCTCTCGTTAATCTAGTTAGTTGTTGTGTGTGTGTGTGTGTGTGTGTGTGTAATGATTGAATAAGTCAAAAGATATGGACAGATGCTGAAAATATTTATATATTATCCACCGGCAGAGACCTCCTGGTGTAAAATACATCATCTGGCACATTGAAACGAGGCATGCCGCGTACTTGCTCTTTTATACACTTGGACAGCGTCGCCTGCTCTTGATGCCTGTCATTTTCCAAGTGCATGTGTTTGTTTGTGTGTCCATTATTCCATAATTTATCTACTCAAGTTGTTCCTATGCAATACGTACCTAAAATGTCAAATTTTATTGAAATAAAAAATGTATGGTTTCAGGCATGTTTGCGTTTTTGGAGCTGCTGACATTTTTCCTGACTCTTTGAAGCTGGAGCAAGTACACCTACCTAAAACCTGCGTGTTTTTGTGTCGTATGTATAACACACACATCCATACTTGGCACAATATACCTGTACGGCGAGGGAGAGAAAGAGAGCAAAAGAGACGCAACGCGTTGATATATATACCCCTGTTCGCCGCCTGTGGAGAGGAGAGGAGCGGTGGGCTCCGTCTCTCTCTTTCACTCGGAGCAGAGAGAGCTGGTGATCGCTACTTTGCGCACGGAGAGGGGCAGAGAAAGGAGAGAAAGGGAGAGGCTCCTTCGCGCGCTCCGCCGCTTGCCTCCCGCTCGAGAAGATGGCTTCCAGCGGCGCCAGTAGCACCAGCAACGCAGCAGCAGTAGCCTCGACGCTGCAGCAGCTGACCAACTCCTGTCACAGTTCCACCACTGGCAATTCCTTTGATTTTGGCAACTTGGCTTCGGCGTCGAGCCCCGAGGTGCCCCAGTGGAAGCTCGAGTTGATCCAGCGCCGCCGTCAGCAGCAACTACATCAAGCCGGCAAGCTTGTTACCGAGACCAGGTCGACGTCCAACTTTACCACCTCCACTACCACCACTACCGCTACTGCTATCGATAGCAACGATGCCGCAACAGCAGCGGCGGCAGTAGTAGTGGCAGCAGTTCATCAGTGCGGGACTCATGGTGGGGTCGGCTTAGCCAGTAGCTCCGACGTTGTTAACAGCTGCACCTGCGTCAGAAATACAGTTGCCGTAGCGAGCTCGGGCGACGATGCCACGACGCTGTTAGACGCTAGATATCGCTCCTGTTCGACCCCCGTAACAGTGACAGTAGTATCAACAACAACAACAACAACAACAACACCAACCAGCCCAACAATGCGCTTCGAAGCGACAGACGCGGCTCCGCTGGCAGCCATCGTCGTCGAGGCAGACGAGTTTAACGGGAGGCCCAAGTGCCGGCCGGGCAAGGAAATGCTCGACATCGTCGAGCTCGCCAAGATAGCCAAGCAGCAGCATCACCGCCACCACCACCATCAGGACGACGGCGAGAGCGACAGCTCCGAGGAGCTCCAGTATGGCCCAGGTATTGTAGACAAGCTTAGGAGCAAGTACCTCAACATGACGCTCAAGGAGATGAACAAAAACAGAGCGAGCGTCCAGGCGTTCAGGAGGGCGGCCAGTCTCGAGGATCTGCTCGACCACAAGGACGAGTCAGCGGAAAAGACCAGGAGGTACGCCAAAAAGAACGTCACGGGGACAGCTGCCAAGGTCGAGAGGTACAGAAACGCGGCCAGGGGCAACGAAACCATGAAGAGGGCCAGAAGCGTGGAGACCCTAATGAGGTGCAACTCTTCCACCGAGGAGAACCACCAGAATCAGCAAACCAATAAGCTCGTGTTGTCCAATGTTTTCAAGCAGGAGAACGATCACATTATCCTGGTGGACAGGACCACTGTTAAAATTGAGAATCGTCTTTTGGACAAGGATAGACTGAAACCTGTCAACAAGCCCAAGAGAATAAAGCCCGTGTTGGCTGAAACGGAGAGACCACCACCGGATCTAGTCAAAACTACTATGCGCATTTTTGAAAGTTCATCAGTGAAAAAGTTAAAGCCAAAGGGTGAAGTTGCTGTTAAAATTGCCACCTTCAAGACTATAAATGACACTTTCAAGGCCCAAAACCAAAAGAAAATCATTCCAAAGCCACCCCTACAGCCCAAGCCCTTTGTCAATGGAAACGCGAAACTCACGACTTCACCACGTAAGATAATACTCACAAGAAAGCCCACCGCAGAGTTGATAGAGCAAAATAGTCAAGAGTCTTATCACAACGATGGCGTCGTAACGGAACCCATAATTTCGTCGGTTTCTCTGGTGGTCAGTAAATTTCAGCAGATCGAAAGGTCTTACTCTCCGTCGTCTTCTCCGGAACCAAGTAAAGTAAGGTTTTCGCCAATACCAAGCCCAGAGCCTTCAGCAGTAAGGGCAAAAGTGTCTTCTCTAGATCTTAAATCGTCGCCCACTGGTAACATGCCACCAATTCCATCACCAAGGACCACACCGCCAAAGCTTCAATCTCCGTTGTCTCCAAGGACAGAAGCCAACGCCAAGCAGCCTTCCATTTTTGTACAAAAGTCAAATTCTACTCCACTGACGAGTAAGTACGAGCAGTCCAAGTTGTCATCACCCCTGTCTTCTGAAGTGCCCAAAATAGACTTTGAGCAGAACAAGGACGAGCCTTCCGAGGAGCAGGTAAAAGAGACAGTGTTAGAATTAAATAATCAAAACAGCGTGGAGACAGTAAACACGAGTGATGTGGCAAAGTTAAGTGACTCGGCTTCATCCTTGGACTCAACTCTTCTGGTTGAGAGTTTCGACGAGGTGGTCGAGGTGGTCGACAGTCCCAGAACAGTGTCAAAGTCCGCCCTCGACAACATAAGCAAGGCAGGCATGACAGTGCAGTTCAGTTTCAATGACAGTCCATCCATAAAAAGTTACCTGCCCAGACCTGTGGCGTCCACTCCCAATGAATCGGTGGAGGCCTCCTTCGAGTGCGAGCTCGCGTCACCCAAGCTAGTCGAGTGCTGCGCCAGGCTAAAATCACCTTCCGCGGAAAGTCCGAGTACGTCCAGCTTGTCCGAGTTGAACTCGACGACGTCCCTCGAATCGCCCGTCAGAGCAGAGGCTGACGACAAAGCGATCTTCAAAGAAGATCCCCCGAAGGATGGCGCTGAAACAAAGCCCATCGGGGCGATCTCGAGCCTGAGCCTCATAAAATCGACGACGACGACGACTTTCTCGCAAGGCAACGAATCGAAAACCATAAGGAGCCAGAAGCCTGAGTCAAACTCACCCCCTCAAAAGCAGATAGGCATCATACGGCCGCTCGTGTCGACCAAGACCCAGTTGCCCCAGCAAAATCTCAGCAACAGGGAGATCGAGAAAAATTTGATAAACCGCGTGAAGAGCATAGAACAGCAGCAGCAGCAGCCTACGAAAGTGGTGGTGAGTTTGAAAAGTGCCGAGGAAATTCAACCTTCGGGCAAGAAGAACAACAACAGCAACAACAACTCGAGCGCCGGTCTGTGGGACTCGAAGCCGTGGAACCAGGCCAACAACACGATGGTATTCAACTTTAGCAACAGAAAGGACGTGCCGGACTACATAGAGAACGACGGCTTGATCATCAAGAGGAAACGCGAGAAGCCAAGGGTAATTATATTTGCGTTGCTCTATATAAAAAACGACATGGTCTCTGAATTTTGCACTTGTTTTCTTGCTAGGGATGAACCCGAGTATTTAAAAAAAAAATTTTTTTTTTCTTTACACGGCAATGCGTATAATAACGGAGTAGCGGTTTACCGTGGAATCCGTACGGTCAGGAGCTCAGCTGTGGCGGAAAGAGTCTTAAATTAATTTTACGAGCGAAGATTCGCACCGATGGAACGGATAAGCTCGTTCCGCGACACGGTTTACAATTTGTTGACACTGCTTGCGAGGAAAGTGGCACGTCGGCTTTATATACGCGGAACCTGCACTCCACAGCCCCGATGCTCGTGTGTCCCTAGGAACATATACAATATTATAATATATACTCTCACACCTGTATACACCGTTCTCGGCTCGGCTCTCTCGCTCGGCAGCTGATGTGTTTGTACATATACATACATCCACGGGATACCATTCTCTCGTTACTTATCTAATCAATACCTCGTTACCCTCCATATACCCATGATTAATTGATTGTTATTTTTTTTTTTCTTTTTGCATTCGCAAGTTGTCGTGTGACCTTTGGGTCGAGTGCGTCGTCGTATTTTTCCTGCTGGTGTAAAAAAGCAGACTTGCATAATATCAAATGAGTATACCTCTATATACTGCAGTTTGGAAAAATTGAATGATATTGTCAATTCTTGACGTTGAGACTGGCACAAGAAAAAGGAAAAAAAAAAAAAATAACAGCTGTATAGACGCGAGTCTTTCGTCGACGCGCGCGTTTTTTTTTCGTACGAGTTAAATATCGTGCTCCGATCCTTTCATTGCTATAATGAATATCATCATTCGGTAGCATGGCTGCATCGGAAACCGTAGGCATAACCGAACGATCGCCAAAAATATCCGAGATGACGGGGAGAGAAATCGGCCCCTCCGATTGAACCGGCACGAACGACAACGGCAGCTCGAACGAAAACTCGTTTGCCGAGAAGCAGCAGCGATTGTAGCGGGTAGTGGTGAATTTTTTGTGTTTTCCCTACACGAGAAGTTTCTCCCTCCCCCGGTGGTAGGTATGCCGAGACTTTGCATTTACTTCCGCCATCGGTTCGCGTCACGACCGCTTCTTTTCTTCAAATTGCCATCCTCGGCCAAGTGCATATATCTATCTCTCTCGGGTGGGCACGTTGTGAAAATTAGTTGGCTCTCGAACACGAGAGGAGGCGAGCGTTTGAAAAGCCATTTCGCGAAGAGAAAAGGAACGGGTCCCAAAAAGATGGTGTTACTCAAGCGCGCGCCTTTCAAAATCGTTCTCGTTTTACTTTAACGCCCGTTATATTTTATTGCCCATTGGCTCGCTCGCTCGTTATTCCCCAACTTCCCTCTCTCTCTCTCTCTCTCTCTCTCTTATATACCTTTGTGCGCGCGTGATTGTTTATCTTGCGTTTCCTGCTTGACGAGCCCTTTCGCCAGCACCATTGCCGCCGTTGTCGACCGAGAACGAATCCTTTGAAGGGTCGTTAAACGGAGAGTTTAACAAAAGCCGGCTCGTACGAAAAATTTACATTCCCTCCCCTCCCTCGACTCTTTTTTTCCGCTCGCGTCTCACTCGTTTTGCAAAGCTCCGATACACGTACTCCGATTCACGTAATAACACTTGGTAAGTACAGCGGGCACTTTGTTTATTTGTATCTTTTACCGCGGTTCATTAAACAAGATTATTATTAATATCGATATTAGCGTTTACCTCGGCATAATGTCGCAACACCATACGGTACAAGTGCAGAGTAGGTATAGACGCGACAGAGGCACATATAGGCGCTGGATCGGTGCATGGGAACGTAAACGTGAAAATATTTTAATGCGCGATTTGTCAATGGCGCGCCGAAGCTCGTGTTAAAATATTAGGTTGTACTATATGTAGAGTACGGAGTATCTCTTTTTGCCCTCACGGTGGAGAAAAAAAGTTGCAAACAATGCATGGATGCAGTTCAACCAGCTCAAGTGGCTGTACATACACGTGCGCGTATTTTGTGGAATCCTAGTTGTTGTTCTCAGACTCGTTATACCTACGCGCGCGATATACTTATACTTACGGGTACTTGTACGAGGTGTACACGGGGGGGAAAAAAAAAGTAGACTCGTTTCTTCAGCTCCAGACACAAAGCCCATATTGGCCGACTGTACCACCAAAGCTCCCGCATGGGTATACCTGTGCTGCATGCGCTTGCAGTGCTCTCCGAGAGAGTAATTATATTTTTGCTGATGGGGAAAATAGACCCCAATGGGCGCGTCGTCGTACAACTTATTTAAATTTACCGAGAACAAAAATTGTGCTGTTCAACCGCATTGCGGAGAAAGTCGCTGTAATATCGGGTCGTGTATAAGTACACGCGCGGCAGGGAAATCGGCAGCGATAAATAATTTTCAAGCTACACATATACACATAGAAGAGTATAGGTACACGTTGTGCGCATTTAGCCGCAGCTGCGTTCGGACTCCGCTTGCGGTGACTATCGATGAGTAATCGAAGATAGGATATCAATTTAGAGGAAAAAAAAAAAAAACTCGAGGCGGCACGTAAGCCGATACCGATAGCCGAGCTTTTGCCTGTATGGGTATTGTGTTTCCTCGGCAGGTCGCCGCTGTTGATGTATTCACATTTCGCGGCTCTTTGTCATTCGCACGCCTATTCGATTCGATGCTCGTGTGTATGTGTTTGTCGCGAGATGTAACTATACTTGGCTCGGCTCGTCTTGTTTAGCCAAGGCATTTATACGCTATCGGTGAGAAAGCTCCCGAAAATCGATTATGATACAACGGGTGATAAGCTCATTACAGAATTGTATGGATTACGACCGAGTCATCTTACGTCGTTGACGAGCGGTACACGGTTATATAGTTTATCACTAATCGCCTCCCTCTCCCTCTCTCTACACGTGATGGGTATATCGAATCAACACTTTTGGATATCTTATCGAGTAAGCGAACGATTATTGAGCAACAAAAAAAAATAGAAGGTGCTCGACATGTTGCTTTACAAAAATGGTTACACGTGTAGTGTATATGCAAAATTCAACGCTTGGAGTCAGGAAGTGTCGTAGTACAAATAACCGTCCTAACAATGGAGCTGAAAAAACGCGCTATTTCACATTAATAAAATTCGTACCGCGACTCTCTCTATTTTACTCGATAATAATTGTTGACCCGAGCAGTCCAATAACGAATATAGGTATTATAAAGTAAACTCACCCGGACTTCCTTGTCTCGGAGAAAGGAAAACAATTTAATATAATGTCGTTGTGAGACTTCATTTCAATGGGACGATTATCCTCGAGAATTACCATTTTCATACTTAAGAGAGAAAAAAAAAAAAAAGTCAATGTTTATGGTCATTTGGGGCTCTAGATTTAACGACTATAGGTACTAGTCGTTGAGTTCTCAAAGCTCCATAAAGGTATTTTCGTCAAAAAAGCGACTTCGTTGGCAATCCTAACACTATCTTTTGTACAGAAAAAAAATAAACATTCGAAAATACATTTGTTGTGCCACGAAGTAAAAAATCCATCAATGCAAATATACCTTTCAAATATCAAAGTTCAAAACATTTTCATTCCAACAACCCGATATCTCATGTGATATATATACACATATACATTTACGTGCGATATAGCAACTCGATCGTTTGTGGGTATATATATTAAATGTAATCGAGTTTTCGGCCGAGACTTTAAAAATAATCCAAAACAAAACTATGTAGTCCAAAAGCGTGTGTCGAATGAAATACGTACGATTATCGTGTCGAATATCTTGACGGCCGATAAGAAAAAAAAAAAAAAAAAAAAAAAAAAAAAGCCTCGCACAACGAATGCATGCACGTTGGTGTCCGTCATGAAACTTCTGTGAAGCGGAATCGAGAGAAAATTCTTCCCGACAGGCTTCTCGAAACGAAAAAAAAAAAAAAAAAAAAAAAAAAAAAAAAAGAAAAAAAAAGCCTCTCCATCGCGTCGTGCATAATTTAGACGTACACATGTACGAGTACAGCTATGCTGCTTAACTCTTGTAAATATGTATAAATAACGGAGGAGAGAGAGAGAGAGAGAGAGACTTCGCCAGCGCGTATCGAAATCCAGTTTTGTCTGTTAACAGTTTTGCCTATGGTAACTCATCGAATCGTAAATGGAGCGATCTCTCGTTCAGCTAGCGGTGTATCGAGTATTACGAAAATCTTGAGAAAGAGGGAATTATATGGAAGGAAGGATGAGAGCTTGCGCGCTGCGCGTAATGAGTTACACATAAATATGTATATAATATAATATGCGTATACAGGTATGCGGCGTAGTGCACCCATATGGTGTATATTGTAGAAGGGCGCATCAGAGATGATAAGTTAAATGCAATACGTAGAGAGAGAACCAACGACAGCTGTGGAGGCTGTTGCGGTCGGCGGAAGCCGATAAGAAAAATAGTAGGTATATAGGGAACGTGGTACAATGTACTTATAAAATGGACAGGAAGCGGAGCCAAGAGAGAGAAAGAGAGCTGAATGCACGGGAGAGAGAGAGAGGCGAAACTGGATGCTTATTTATGAATATACACACACATATATATATATATATACCTATGATGTGCGTGTGTGGGACTTACAGCATGATGGTATGGAGGGACCGTAAAAACCGAGCAGAGCAAGATGACTGGGTCCGTGCAGGGCTGCCGTGGTGTTATATTTTGTCGACAGTCGTGATGCAGCTCGCATATTACTTACTTGTATATACCTACACATAAAGAGGAAAAAAAAAAATTTCGTTTTCAGCCGGAAGTTTGATTCTTCGTGACCATTTTTTTCGCATCACGATTTTATCATTTACGTACCGTAACATTCGGTTGTTTAAAAAAATATTAACAATTCATATTCAGTTGTTTATTCTTTAACTTTTAAACTAAAACAACAACGTTTAATATTTTTAAATTTTAAACAAACTGACCATTAGAGGTTGTGACTAACTAGTTGGTTATTACCTTCAATTTCAAGTAAAATATGACGTGAGTACGTGAATGACAAATGGTCACGTTTTGCTTTTGAAACTTGGGGTTTGAGAGCTTAAGCCCGAACCGTCATATATTGCCCATCCATTTTTCCGTATATAACATGAAAGCATGTATCATCGAAGTAGTAAATTAAGTAACGGAACTTCTTTATGTGTCGAAAACTTCCAAGCCCTAATTGCTTTTCCGCCCAAAGGCGCAAAGTACGACTCGTAAGGAATGACGCCATTCGAACTTTGGGCACAAACTGCACGAAACGCATCGAAAAATTGTACTATATACTTGTAAATCATTTCACTTTTTGAGATCGAATATGATTTCTGGGAAAATCCATATCACCGTTGTAATTAAGAGTTTCAGCACATCCCAAAATGCTATGACCACCAACCAACGTGCTTGTATTAAATTGAAAATAAATTGTTCCCTGCGCTTAATAACCATCCACTAGCAGTCTATCTTGGAGAAATTGCGTGAAGTTAAGGACAATTCGAATTAGAGTAAAATGTTGCCAGGTATACTTATTTAGGGTAAAATATACGTATTACGAGAAAGAGAGAGAGAGAGAGAGCAAACATCTATACATTCATAGAATGAGACCTGAGAACTCGTGAGAATTTCCTTCTGGTTCACTATTGTACTTTGGTCTTACTCTGCATGCGGTGCTGGCCGATTATTTTGCTGTCCTCGCAAGTTCATTGCCACTCTGTGTATAAGGTGTATCGTGTTTTCCCGTGCACACTCAAATAAGAGTGTACCAACACACGTGTGCACATTTATACACACACATATTCGCCTTTACTCAGTAAATTGTCTTTTGCCTCCACGTAATATGTATGTCCCTTTATACCCGACTCTGTTTTAATGTGACTAGAATTTTTCAAAGAGTAAACAGCATTATGAACAATAAAATCGCAAAATGAGAGATAATAGATGAAATTAATGAAGCAAGAGGTTAAAAAAAAAATTTTACGTCACATGTATATAATATATATTATAATGTTTTATTTTGAATACGATTGCAGCAACAACAACAGCAGCAGCAGCAGCAGTTGTACCAGTCCGTCGACAGCAGCGTTATCGTGTCGAACATCGATTGCATCCAGCTGACCGACGACTCGGACACGGAGTACTCGGCTGGACCGCCCTCCCCGTGCGACGTCGCCTTCTGCAACGACAATATCCTCATCAACGGGCGCAGCAACCTATCCAGATCACCGCGAAACCACAAGGTGGGTGTGCACTTGTATACTTTTGCATTTACCCTTTTTTTTGTCAGCATCAACACCAGCATATACCATAGGGATCCTTAATTTTGTGCAAACACGCCACCTGCACTTGTATGCTTAACAGTAAGTTCAATAGGTAATAGTAATACTAGCTCCTTGTAGACATGGGTTTTGGTCACGGGCGATTTCGCCAATTTTTTTGTTTTTCCCCGGATACCAAACTTGGATCGTTCGATTGAAAACAAAAATTAGAAAATGATTTTTTCAGGTATAGTCGTGAGTTTAAATGGCAAGTGCGGAGGAGGAATCGGGTTGGAAAAGCCAATGGGTGAAAATATGCAATCTTCGTAGGTATACTTATACACCTTTGCCCGATTACAAAGAAGCCACGCTTGATATTTTAGAAAACCTAATGTGACGGTTCGAAGCGACGAATTCTCGGAAATCTATCGAGCGGGTAATGTAACGCGCGCATCGGGAAAAACCAACGCGTGACCTCGCTTTCGCGCCGCGAGTAAATAAAAAGCCTTTCGCACGATTTTACGCATAAGACCCGCAAACCGGCCCCGTGTACGTATACTTTTTATACACATATTTGCACAAAAGCGCGAAACAAAGTGCGCACGGGTCGCGGGAAAAATTCGCTGGTTGTTTTCCCACATACATGCATGTACATTCATATATATGTATATGCATATATACGTATAGCTCAAGCGAAAATGAAAAGCGCCCGTCACAGTCGAGCGGACGTGGATGGCCGAATGAGTGCTCGTCGATCATCCGTTTCGCCTGTCCGAGTTTTGATGTTGTCCATCATCTCTCTCTCCCTATAATATATATACTCCAGAGGGAGAAACCAGGATTTTGCGATTTACTGGTCGAATCGAGGAAGCCTGCCCTCGCGTCGTGCATTTGTTTATAGGTGTAATATACAATACGGATAAAATCATCGTACAAAAGTTTTTTTTTTGTTTTTTTTTTTAGTGTTGCGCAGGTTGTTGGTGCTATGAAAGTCGATACGGAAATGCATAAACCAAGCCTCGTAACTCGAGCTTTTCATCGATTTTGAAAATTGTCCATCGTTTACTTTCGATGCACTTTCTCCGCGGATAGCTCGAAACGGGACCAACAGCTTGGCAAAAAAAATTGTTTTAATCAAAGGATTAAATTTAGGTCTTCGGAGAAAATGGCTTTTGGCACGAGCACTTTGTACACTGCTTGTGGGTACAATGAGCACCGCATCCGCAGTATGGGATCAGAGTTTGGGTCAGTTCTCAGAGCTGTTCGCCGATGTGGGCAAAGGGATCGCCGTATATACCATTCGTTATGCTCTCTTTATTTCCTGTTTTTCGCCCGTACCCTATTGTGCCTACACCCCACGTAGCCTCCTCTCTTCTTTGTGCACTCGAGTGCTCTCTCTCTCTCTCTCCTTTTTACTTCTTTTTCGCGGCCTCTTTGTCCATCAGCCATAATACATATAGTTACCTTTTTGCCATTTGACGACGGGAATTTTTAATCCTCCCGAAACCAAATGGATGTTGATGGGAGAAATTGGCTTCGTCACCGATGCTCCAGCGATTTGTACGCCTAGTTCGTCCGGTACCTGTTTCCATTAGGAGTAATTTTACCGATTTGCGAGGATTCGTGAAAAATTGCCTGTTTCGTCGTCGTATCGGCTTTCGCTCGTGGCTTAACAATGAGCACAATTTTTTCTAGTCACTCCTTGGGTATTCTCATGTGAATGGTTTACTGTATACTTTTATAATAAAAGATTTGAGAAAAAATTATTTTAAAGCACATGAGGGAATGTTTCACGGGTGTAGAGAATAATATATAGAATAAGTGGCATTAAACTTTGTACATGTGACATCGACCTCTTGAATACCTGTATGATACTTATTTTTTAGTGTCATCACCCGAAATCGACAATGCATGTATATATGCGCTCAAGTATTATCGCGCTATAGTATTGCAAAGTAGAAAATTTAATTTTGAACTGAATGTGACAAAGTCTAGTTTTATCATCAAATAACTATTAAGAATATAATATCTTTAAAAATTAATGTTATCACAAGATAATTTCATTAAAAAAAAAAAATAATAAAAAAAAAAGATAAAAATTAAGTGATATTAGTCTTTCGTTCATACAGTTGTTACAATTAAATAAAAATCGATGTATTGAACTTTTTAAAAACTTTAATTAGTTTTTCTGTGTATTTTCATATTAGGAAAGTCATAATCAGCCATCGTTATTGAATTATCACAAAATTAGTTTTAATTGTATTTTAAAATAAATTAGTAAAAAATTAAAAAGTTGCGTCAATGGAACTATATAATATAGAATATCTGTGATACCAAGTGGTATTTTTCCCTCGAAATGTTTAATGATTTTGTGAAATGTCCAAGAAAAAACTGTTTTTATCGTACGATAAACTTGAGCTGTCGAAAAACATAGTGATAATGAATGCTTGTACGTAATTAAAGTAAACTGTTTAATTGAGCGAGACTAAGAGAAATTTCAAAAGAATAAACTGGATGCCTATTAGTTGGAAGCGTTTCTTATCTGTTATCCAAAACTTTTATTGAATTTTATCACGTGATTATACTACTACGGAGTGTATTATTTATTATTAGGTTTATTTACGTCAACACACGTATAGTGACCGTAATAAAATAAAAAAGCCCTTAGGTGCACCTTGAAAGTAAAAATTATTTCTTTCTTTTCCAACAAAAATTAAATTAGAACAAACAAAAACGATCAGCGCGCGAACAATTTATCGGAAAATACGAGACGGCGTGTAATTTATTGTGGCTCGTTTGGCGATGAAAAATGTATCGGCTGGTAACGGTACCAAGCAAATTCCGCGCGAGGCAAAAAAAGAAAAACGAAGGGCACCGACAACGCGATTCGTCGCACTCCCTCGGACCCCCTCGCCGATTTCCCCCTCCGGCAACATCTATAATCTAATACACACCGGCTGCCGAGGAGCAAAGGAAGCGAAACTGCGCAGAGCCCAAACTTTTTTTTTCTCCGATATAACCATACACGTGCACGTGGCAAGGATGTCGGTCGGCCTAATGTGCAAGACAGAGTCCTTACGACACTCGCGCGCTGCAGCTCTCTCCACTCAAATACTTAAATGTGCTCTGCTCTGGCGTTGTCTCTCCTTTTATGCGCGTCTTATATGTCGCCGTTCATTGCGCCTGCACGGCAAGGTCGTCGACAACATTGCCCAACACTCGAGGTACTAATGTTTTTTTTTTTTTTTTCCACCGGGCGACGCATCGCAATCGAGTAAAAGGAGCGAGTGATAAAGCAACCCGTTCGTATGTAGCTTCAGCTATCAGACCTGGTATCGATCGATCGATCTTACCTCTATATATACGATGTATCAAATGATTTCCGCGATTTCAAAATAACACTCGCTACGGAGGCCTACTTATTTACGTCCAAAATTCGAGTCAACCTGTACAGTTCTTATCGATGGCACACTTACTCTTTATTTCCGAATGAGTAATCAATTTGAGTTCAAAAGATGTGTATCATTGGAATGGGGGGGGGGGGGAAATTACGATACCAGTAAAATATATGGTGCCGCGAGTTGTATCGTCATCGAGTCGGTAGCTCCCGCGAGCCGAACAAAAGAAGCCTCGGATTCAACTTTGGGGGTTCCCGACTCGAGCGGCGTACACAACGGCGTTGGGGGGTGTCTTTCGCGTATCGATTTTTCTCCTCGGGACTCCCCCTCGACATCGCACGGAGAATAAAAAAAAAAAAAAAAGCCAGAGAATGGGAGGAAGGACCGGGCGTCCCCTTTTATTTCGCGGTATACCATCCTCGGCTGCTCTCTTCCTCCTCGAGTCACGTGTACCCGTACACTATATATACACCACATAGGAGCGTTTCTTCGTACAAGCACTCGGTGGTACTCGACAAAAGAAGTGCGCACATCCACGGAATCAAGAGTTATGCAGGTATCATCATCGTCATCATGATCCTGCAGCCAAAGAGGGAAGTGGAAAAAAAAAGAGGAAGAAAAGACACGAGCCGTTGTTGTACACCACCGCGGCGCCTGCCTCGGCGATTAACGGGTGTATGCGTGCAACTCTCATTCTGCTTGAAATAATAAGCGATACTGTTAGCGCTCGCGCAGTGCTCAAACGCCGCCGCCGCGGTAGTGCCGCTAATTGTTAATCGCCCCTGCACACACAATACACACATAATAATATACACACGTTCGTTGCAAGTGTGCAAGTCCAGTGTTTTATATTAAACCTGAACGTGGGCTTTTCTTTTTTTCTTTTTTTTAATAGCACCGGGTAAATTATATGTCTACCTTATGTTGGATTATTATACAGTTGCCATGTTATATCTTATGGCGATTACGTATACTTGTGTTCCGTTCTTTCTCCCTCCCGCACTTAAATCGAGATGCATTATGTAGGTATATATAATTGTACCGGGGACATTTTTCGCATTTTCACGATTGTCGGGTCTAGCGTAAACAATGTATACATACGCCTCATCATCGCTGGGACAATGATTCCCCCTCGTAGTTTACAATGGTGCGACTCTCCGTTGCGAGACCAAATGATAACGCGTATGACTCGTGTGTGGTTGTTGTGTTGATCTTGTTTTCTCCTTTGCTTTTGAATTGCTGCTTACTTTTCAAAATGGAAAATCGTTAGTATGTGGGTACGAATTTCCCAAGTTGAGCAACTTTTAGAACAGAGACCGTAACTATGTACCTATATGTAGGTGCGTTATACGGCAGAGTGTAGCAGTAAAATGCGGCATGCATATACATATAGTCGGGAATTTATATATACCTCTTATGCGCCTCTCTCCGGCATATATAGGACTATGGGGTATGAGTGCGCTGCGGGTGTGTTAATATTTGATTGGGCGTCAAATAAAATATCCGAGTGTCGAAAAAGCTTTTCATTTTATTTTCTCTCTCTCTCTCTCTCTATTGCTATATTTCTATATGTATGAAGATATAGGTATACCAAACTTACGTACTTTGGTGTAAACAAAATCATCGAAGGTAGTGGGAAATTCGTAAGCTGCACCGTCGCGAAATTAAAACCCCGATTCTGTGGATTCCGTATATTAGGTGATAGCACTGCCGAATTAACAAATACTGCTACTAGTACCAACTCGGTCGGGGCGCTCATTTAAGCGTCAGTCCCGAGACTCCCGAAACAGTTATACCAACAAAACGATTAAACGTCTTCTGCGGCGCGCGTTGCCCAACTTTACGACAGATTTTTCAGTCTATATAGCCTACATTACCTATCCTATGGAGTACTAACTGTAGTCTGGGCATTTTTTTGTATCTTCCACCCCAGAGCGGCTCGTTGGCGACTCCCCGCACGCGTTACGTACCGATAAAATATAATACAACACGAGCTCGGTGCGCGTGCATCGTGAACGCGGAGGTTGAAGCTCGTGCATCACGTAACGTTACATCAGTCGAGAGACATATGTATATCAAGTTATAGCTGTGTAGCGTGACGCCTATTGTTATAATATTTCAAGCACGCGCGCACGTACGCTTGTACGTTATACTCACGGGCGCTCGTGTTTAATAAATAATCATAAAAAAGGGGAGGAGGAGCGATGCGCGCGACAAATCAATCTCCCTCCCCGCCGCCCACTTTCACTGACATTCGACCTTCGCCCACGCGCGCACCTGTGCCCCCCCCCCCACATCTATATTTTACGTACCAGGTAAAACAAAAAGGGGAACGAACGACCAGTAGGACGCTATATACCGTCCGATCTCCTTCTTGCTTGCCTGCGTTGCCGAAAACCCGTGTGACTTTATTATACGGATAATAAAAGAATGGGCCTCTTTTTTGGCTCTCACGGCCAATATGCCTTTTTCTCACTCGCACCCCGTTGTAACACACGTGCCTCGGTGTGGCATGTAACGCGTTCGATTCCCATAATTCGGATCAACCTCGGGAAAAGATTTCAATCTCGCTGGTATTTCGACGGCAATATTTTTTTTTCTTTTTCCAAATCGAGAGAGAGAGAGAGAGAGAGAAATATAGGTGTAGATTTATCGCTCGGAATTCGGGATGATTGTATATATGTGGGTTACCCTTTCATCTCGGCGACTCGTACTTACTTGTTTTTTTCAAAAGCCGTAATTTATGAAAATCGGGCGATATCTATGCCGGAAAAAAAAAAAATGCTACGATCGGTATAGCCAGCAGGTGATCAAACTGTAAAAGCAAGCGATGATCAGGCGAGCCGTTTGAAAAAGAGGAGTGGAGGAGGATCGGTATGTACGAGATCGGCGGTATACCCCACAAACATCTATACGTGCTTTCGAAAGAACGTGATGTGTATTGTTGTAGCGCCAGGGGCAGGATGTATAAATAAATATACCTATACTATCGATGATAATTATAAAAGTATAACTGATGAGGTGTTGTTCTGACGTTTTTCAGCATCGGATCCAATTCGACGACATGGCGACGCGTACCTTCGAGTACCCGAGCGAGACCTCGATGCTCGAGGCCGAGGGCGTCACGGGCGGGAGCAACAGTAGCAGCGGAGGCAGCAACGCGGACGCCGAGACTTCCGCTTCCGAGGACGTAGCGGCGGCGGCATCGGGAGCTGCTCGGCCGAGCGGTACTTTGCCCTCTCTACTCGGTGAGTGCTGCACATCGGAGGAAAAAAAAAAAACCCAAGAATTTCCTATCTCTATACACCTATCCATGTATTGAGTATATATACCTATACACCCGTTGCTCGGGACCCATGCCCACTTGATGTTGTTACAAAACATCATGCTCTCGTGTTTGTGCCGTATCGCTCGGCGAGCCTTTTTTTTCCTCGCTCGCGCCGTCTCGAGTGTACTTGGCTGATGTGTATATAGGTATATATCCATACCAAGTACGCGGCGTCATTGCTGACGGTAAGACGAGTCAAGTTCACATGGCTCTGCGTCGGAGATTTTTTAACTGCGATTCGCTCGCTCCCGTCGCTGTTTGCAGCACTTCCTCGTCAATTATTAATTATACGGCCGGACCGCCCGTCTTCCTAATTGCTCGCACCTCGTTAGGTGTATTGCTCTCTCGCGATGACGGTTCGTTGGCACTTTTTTTCTTTTCTGAAAATTGTTACTGCCACGTGCATCCCACCTATACCACTGTAAAATCTATCGAAATTTAATTGCGTGCTCTACTTGCTACTTTTCTTTTTTTTTTTTTTTCTTGAATCAAACAACTTCCGGAAAGAGTCGTTTCACGCATTTATGCTCATTTTCGTCCCATTACATGGCAATTGTGGAGAGCGCGAGACAATGCGAGCGTCTTTATGAAAATGGCGTAGAAAAATTGCCGACAATCTTTGGATGGATTTAACGCTACTTGTGACGTACAACGAGAGTACACACCACTACCCATTATAGTTGAACCAACCCGATAACGAGCAGGTCCCGTTTTCACGGGATTACCATTTTGCGTATCGATGTTAATATACATTCCCATTAACCCGCATGCACGATGCTTACCTGTGCTTGATAAACGATTTCTTACGATTATTGAATTACTTGAAGCGTAGGCGGAGGAGGCCTGGCGAGCTATACTCCGAGCAAAGTCGACCTGGCTTCGGAGGGCTTCGAGCTCGGCATCACGCGAGCGAGCGTGTCTACGCTGGCCTCGCCGCAGACAACCAACGCGCCGACACCACACCAGCAGAGCGTCGACGACGAGGTTGACTACCTGAAGCCATCGCAAGACCCCGGCACTTGGGGACAGGAGACGGCCGCGGATATGCTGTACTAGGGCTAGCTGCACGCGATTCAGCTCAAAATAATTTGTGAGCCGTGATTTTTTTTTTTTTTTTTTTTTTTGTAAAATTAGGAAACATTTTTTACAAAGTTTATTGTACGTATATACAAACAGAAAGAAAGCGAGAGAGAAAGTAAGACATATAGTCGCCGGGTCGGGGCGAACGAACTGAGAGAAGCGCGTTCCGTGGCTCCGTTAAACGGTGCATGGGATCGCGGAGCGACAGATTGAGCGCGCGAGATAGGGTGACGCGCGTGCGATGAACAAAAAAAAAGGAAGGAATTTTTCGTGGAGACCGGACTCGTTGCATTCCATTATTACTATCGAGCATTTACTTATTGATTTATACGTGTGTTTAGAATAATGATGAAAAATAAATGAGTAAGGAGAAAAAATGTATAAGAAGACGAATTCCTCGTAAAACTGCCAAAAGCGAGCGTAAGACTTGCGAAAGTTTACTGTATTAACTTGCGAGCGCGCGACCCTTAATTGAATTATATCCTATCTTCCAGTAATGAAAGGTCAGAGACAGCTTGGCTCGTCTATTTTATTTATTTTTTTTTTTCCTTTCTCTTTTTCAATGACCATTTGCGCATGAGGAAAAAAAATTTAGGGATAAAACACAATACGGTAATTGCAAGTGATAACTTATATACATTTTGAAACTTTTTGAGATTAATTTAAGTTAGGAAATGCTTTATAAACTATGTACTACATCTAGTAAGAGGTCACACATGGATTTTAAACGTATTGATGATGATAATTAAATTGCTGAGGTTAGCGTTTTCGATCGGAAACGTAACTTAAAATATATTATTCATCCAATGACTCTGAAAAACAAATGAATTTAAGCGGAGACAAATAATCAACGAGAAATTGAGTTTACTTATAATAATAGTTAGTGTATAGGTATAGTGAACCTCCGTTTGTATGAGAAAAAATTGTAGATTTGTACATTCGATGAATATTCGATGCTTACAGAGCATTCTTCGCTCGCATCAAGTGATGTTGATCGTCAGAAAAGAAAAATCATACATTAGTTATTTGTATGTTTTTTGTTTTCTTTGCATTTTTTCGTCAGTTATCAAGCAACAATCGACACGATTAAATACGTCAAGATACGAATTGTGCACTTTCGTATATTTTAATCGTTATTCTTCTATATGTTATTTTTTGTCCGAAACGATTTATTTTGAAAGTTATTACCACATTGCATGTCGTAGAACTAATTTAACAATCTGTTGCATTCTGATGCAAGCTGGTGATAATGAACTTGAATAATTTTAACTTGTTACATATATTTGTTAATTTTAAGCACATTGAATATTGTACATATATGTTGAAAGTCCTTGAAAAGTTCAAAATTAATTGGGTTATGTAACAAAACGATTAATTTTTTGTCACTAAACTCTAAGATTTTTCATTTTCAAGGATACTGTCTTGCCCCTATTGTTTTGCTTCTGTTTAGTTGTAACTTTTTTTTTGTTTGATAAAGAGACACATGCCATCGAATGTTATGCAAAAATGCAAGTGGCGCCATTAAAGCGAGTGATGCACGTAATTTTTAACTTATTACGAGATCATGGACTGATCATATTATTGTAGGTACAGTATTGAAAGTTTTCATTTATACGTAGAATTCGTCAAAATATCGCCTTGTGGTCCTTATGGTCATTAATTATCATAATTATGTAAGTTATGATGCATTTAATCGTAATTTTGCGTTGTAATAAATTATTGTGATGTCACGAAAATTTCTTTGTCTTGTATGTCAGTAGTAATCGTGTCATGGCATTAGTGTCTTGTATTGTGATAAATTTTTTTTTTGAACGCTAAAATGTAAGAGTGAGATTGTGTAACGAAATTATTTCGAAAATCATGAAAATCACGGAAAGCAGAAACGAAAACACTGCCTGATGCTTGCCATGTTACTTTCTCATTGAGATTGTTCAAAAAATTATATCACGAGTAAAAGTTGTATACTTCAGACAAATTAAACTTTTTTCATGTTTCAATCTTAATAATGGTCGGCCAAACTATTTATTCGAATGGTATTTTTCAGTGATTGTAAATATTTATGCCTACATAAATATGCTAACTTTAAAAGTAGTCTATTCTACGTAATTGATAAACATAATTCTCTATGAAGAAGTAAATGTAGAGGCAAATAAACATTTTCATTCCTCAAATACAAAATTTTTCGAGAATTTTTGTAAATGATTTAACCATCTCATTCAGTAGTATCATTCATCATTGTTGTGGTTGTAGTTGTAATTATCATTGTCATTATCATTATCATTATCATTTTAATAATATAAGAATCAATTACTACCTAGTATTAAAATTATTCGTAAGTTGTAATCATGCCCGTAGCTTATGGAAAATAAACAATAATTATTAAGTAACACGTAATAACACTTTTTTAATTATACCCTAACAAAAAATAAGTATAAATCTATTTATCAGGAAGGTACTAAAAGTTGAAACGATCTAAAGGTATAAATACTTGAAAAGGCCATGTATTTACAAAATGTAATAATTTATTTAAAAATACGTGTAAAGTAAGTTTGGATTGAATCTTAATGTTACAGAGATGATGATGAAAATCACAAATCAGCACTAATACCCTAACATCATTGTCTTTCCACTTGGAAAAATTCAAGCCCTTGTATCACAAAACAAGTAAATGAGTGAGTAAAACACATACACGCACATTGGAGTTCATTAGTCACTTGAATATCGAGTTGTAGTACTCCTCCTCGAGGTCAAAGAGATCCGTGGCCATGTCGTCTCGCAGCGAAGCCAACTTTTGATCACATTCTGCCTGTTTTGCCCTAAAGAGTTTGCTATTTTGCGTTATGGCTTCGTTAACGGATGGAAAGTCGTTTAGGATCAGGAATTGTTTGATGTCGGACACGAGCTTCATCAGCGATTCACCAGCTCTGACCATGTTCGCCGCGCGTACCTGCATCTCGTAGGTATCCTGCTCGCACTGGGTCATCCGGGACAGCTGCGAGTCGTTCTCGCCTTTGGCCAGTTTTACTATTTCTGCAAAAAAAAAGGCAAACAAGTGGTTTCAATGGCAAAAAAACGCTTGGCGAAGGGACCAATGGTAGGTTAGAAAAATTACCTTCAAAGTTTTCGAGCATCGATTTCACGTCGTCTTTCAGTCTTGTCGTGTAGGATTTTAGAAGAGCCTCTTGGCTCTGGGGAAGAATGCGCTGACTCGACATTTTTGTGCAAAAATTATACTTACGATATCTAAAAATGCCTTTATATCTACAAAATCACTGTCAAAACATGATGCACAAACATAACAGAGCAGACAGCATCTACCTCTGCTTTTCGAGTTGGAGATGTGTGGGTGTCTCTATATATTTTAGACAGCGCACGCGCAAACGAAAGCGCCATAAGTTGAATGTAGTGTAGTGTAACGATTACTTAATGTAGTGTAACGATTAAATGCTTATTTGACAAAAAGATAGACTTTTCTATTAAGGACTAATTACAATACAATAATAATAATATTTATTGAATACCATATAGTCTTTGAGTTTAACACTTTATACCCCGGCAGCTGCTTCGTTTGATTAGGCGGGTGTGTGAAAAAAAAACCATTCACAAATTTTTCTTTCTTTAAAAGTAGCTAAAAATATTAACTATAAGGACCGTGAAAACTGTATGAAAAACACAATATGCTCATGTAAATGTAAGACAAACGGCTGCGTGTATGGAGTAAGTCGATGAAAAAAATATTTAGGAAAATTGAAAGCTACTCTCGTCAAACAAAAATTTGTTTTTTTTTTCCAATACTTACCTAAAACCTTGGTATTTGTTGCTTTATCACGTAGATGGTCAGTATCTCATTATATCGAACCAACCGATCATCTTTGACACTTTTTCCTAAACAAGTTGTTGTCTGCGTACAATGGCATTTCATCAATGTAATGTTTTTTTGTTTTTTTTTTCTTCAGAATTTGTCAACAAAAGAACTGAAATCAAAAAGCACAAAAGATTTTCCCCAAAACCGCAAAACTGCAATGATAGAAAAAGAGGCGAAAAAGAAAAAAAAAAATCAAAGTGCGTTGCAGTTTTCATCTTTCGAATAAAAGCCTGATTAAAATTTGCCACAGTGGTGTAATTCTCGGCATTCTAGAATCTCCAAAAAGCTCTCGAGACCCTGTCAATTCGTAGCAGGTAAGATTACGTTCCATGATCCACGAGGGTCTCTCTATCCTCTGATAAAAAAAAAAAAAAAAAAAAAAAAAAATACATACACAAGTGATGACCATGAGGACATTCTCACCCACATCTGTATACGTTTTGCAAAAGATACCACATACGACGTCACGGAGGAAGTCTCGTGGGGCCCCTTGGAGGGTGATATATTGATCGGTAGGTGGTACAACCGGTGCGCGCGCCTCGAACGAGCTTTTTTCCCCCTTCCCTGCCCCTTAGAGAAGCTCGCCTGCAGTCCCTGTGCAGCAAAGCTCAGACGTATAGAGTACAGAGAGCAGGGGTTACGACGAGAGGGGGACAGTCGGTGGTGTTTCGATCGCCATCAGGCTCGGCCGTGGCGAAGCTGGCCTCGACAACCTCTCCCCTTCAGCTGGTGATCGTCGGGTAGTGCCCCCCAACCCCCCCGAGCATGACTGCCAACGGGCACCAGTTGCCGCGGCGACTCGCCCGGAAGACCCGCGCTTCGATAGGGCCAGCCGGGGCTCGGAGCTGATGCTTTTCACGTACGCGACAGCGAGAGAGAGAGAGAGAGGAACGGGCGGAAGAAGCTAAAGGGTCAGTTTTGAGGAGGCGAACGCGATGCCGGGGACGATAGTTGGTTTGTTGCTGTGGCTCGGGGGCCTCGCCCTTGGCGGGAAGTCGGTGTCGAGCAGGGACGACTACGTCCTGCACATTGGCGGGATCTTCCCGATTGCGGGCGAGGGTGGCTGGCAGGGCGGCCAGGTGCGTTTTTACACGTATTACCAATTTTTATTTTTTATTTTATTTTATTTTATTACAAGCATACCGATAAATCATAATTTACATATCTCGGGTGTTCAAATGATGATGATACTACGTTTATTCGTGCAGGCGTGCATGCCAGCTGCAAATCTTGCCCTCGAGGATGTGAACAAGGAGAAAAATTTGCTGCCGGGCTTCACCCTAAAACTCCACTCCAACGATAGCGAGGTACATAATATAATGTATACACATACATATATTTAAAGCAGAGAGTTGTAAAAAAAAAAAATTAATGAATGTTATTTAACGCCCCCAGTGCGAGCCGGGCCTCGGGGCGTCGGTGATGTACAATTTGCTGTACAACCCGCCGCAAAAGTTGATGCTGCTGGCCGGGTGCAGCACCGTGTGCACGACAGTCGCCGAGGCCGCGAAAATGTGGAACCTCGTCGTGGTACGTACATGTACTTTACTCCCTCCGAGGAGAGATTAAAAAAAAAAAAAAAACAAACATATGATGTATCGGTAGCTCTGCTACGGTGCGTCCTCGCCGGCACTGTCGGACAGAAATCGTTTCCCGACCCTCTTCAGGACCCACCCCTCAGCGACCGTGCACAACCCAACGAGGATCAAGCTGCTGCAAAAGTTCGGCTGGTCGCGCATAGCCATCCTGCAACAGGCCGAGGAGGTGTTTATATCGGTACGCGGACAATACATACATATATATACATATATGAATAACGATTTTCCTCGTCACGTGTAGTATATATACATACATACATACATATGTATGATGATTGTGTGCACCAAACAGACCGTGGAGGATCTGGAGGCTCGGTGCAAGGAGGCCGGCATCGAGATAATGACGCGCCAGAGCTTCCTCTCCGATCCGGCGGACGCGGTGAAGAACCTGCGGAGGCAGGACGCCCGGATAATCGTCGGGCTGTTCTACGTAGTGGCCGCTCGGCGCGTTTTGTGCGAAATTTACCAAAACTCGCTTTACGGCAAGACCTACGTCTGGTTCTTCATCGGCTGGTACGAGGACAATTGGTGAGCCATTGTGATGGATGGATGGATCGTTGTGTGTTGTGATGCGAGCTGCAATTTGTATATGAATCGAGGTTCGAGATGAATCTCGACAAGGAGGGCATCAGCTGCACGAAGGAGCAGATGCGCCAAGCGGCCGAGGGCCACCTCACCACGGAAGCCGTCATGTGGAACCAGAACAACGACACGACCATCAGCGGCATGACAGCCGAGGACTTTCGCCAACGGCTCAACACCGTCCTCAGGAAGGAGGGCTACGACATCGACAACAGGTACCCCGAGGGCTACCAGGAGGCCCCGCTCGCCTACGACGCCGTGTGGTCCGTCGCTCTAGGTAACCAAACTATATATTTATATATTTTTTTTTTTTCTTTCTCTTTTTCGTTTGTTGCGCATATATACAACGATAAGAATTAAAACAACCCGACGCGTATGGGTATAATGTTTGTGTTCTCAAGCTTTCAACAAAACCATGGAGCGACTCAGCAAGCAGGGCAAGAGCTTGAAAAACTTTACGTACAACGACAAGGAGACGGCGGACGAGATATACTCGGCCATCAACTCGACCCAATTTATCGGCATCTCGGTACATATGCACACAACAAGTATACAAATGTGGATATTGTGTAGGTATGTGTATATCGATCGGGCGTGGTATATTGATGCTCGCAGGGCTACGTGGCCTTCAGCTCGCAAGGTGATCGGATCGCCTTGACCCAGATCGAGCAGGTGATCGAGGGTAAGTACGTGAAGCTCGGCTACTACGACACGCAGATGGACAATCTGACCTGGCGCAACCTCGAGCGTTGGATCGGTGGCAAGGTGCCCCAGGACAGGACAATCGTCAAAAAGGTCCTACGCACCGTGGCCCTGCCGCTGTTTGTCGGCATGGGGGCCGTCTCGGTGATCGGCATCATCGTCGCTTGCGGCCTCATCGTCTTCAACGTCTGCAACAGGCATCGCAGGTTCGTTTCGTCTCCTCGTCATTTCCCTCAAACTCTCCATATATAAATTATAATTACACAACACCCATCATATTTTATCGATCCGAGCAGGGTGATCGTTTCGTCACACCCGGTGTGCAACACGATTATGCTGGTTGGGGTGATCGCTTGCTTCGTGTCGGTGTTTCTACTGGGCGTCGACGGGCGCTTCATGAGTCCCGCCGAGTACCCGCGCATGTGCCAAGCCAGGGCGTGGATCCTGTCACTGGGCTTCACTCTGGCTTTTGGCGCGATGTTCAGCAAAGTCTGGCGGGTCCACCGACTCCACACCAAGACGAAAGCCGATCACGCCAAGGTGAGCTGTCGACAAAACAAGGTGTGTACTTATGATGACGAATAAGTATAACGATTGTCCAATAGCTGTTCATGTCGAAGCAAAAGGGATCCTCGATCCAAAACAAGGTCCAGCCCTGGAAGTTGTACTCTATGGTGGCGATCTTGCTGGTGATCGACGTTATTCTACTGGCGGTATGGCAATTCGTGGATCCCCTGGAGCGGACGATCGAGGTGTTCCCCCTGGAACCGTCCACCCAGGGTGACGACGACGCGAGAATACGTCCCGAGCTCGAGCACTGCGAGAGCGAGCACAACAACATCTGGTTGGGGCTGATGTACGGCTACAAGGGGGTCGTCCTGATGTTCGGGCTCTTTTTGTCCTACGAGACGCGGAGCATCAAAGTCAAGCAGATCAACGACTCGCGCTACGTCGGCATGTCGATCTACAACGTCGTCGTCCTCTGCCTGATCACCGCCCCCGTGACCATGGTCATAGCCAGCCAGCAGGACGCGAGCTTCGTCTTTGTCTCCCTGGCCATAGTGTTTTGCTGCTTCCTCAGCATGGCCCTCATTTTCGTGCCCAAGGTTATCGAGGTCATACGGCATCCCAAAGACAAGGCCGAGTCCAAGTACAACCCCGACATGGGCGTGTCCAAGGAGGACGAGGAGCGCTACCAGAAACTCGTCCAGGAGAACGACGAGCTCCAGAGGCTCATACAGGAGGCGAGTTGTTTATATATACTGCATGTACAATACATAATATGTACTATTGATTTCACCTATACTACATCCATATAGGTATGTATTATTAATCGTTTGAAATTGATTGATGCAGAAGGAGGACAAGATAAAACAGGTAAAGGCCAAGCTGGCGGAGCGCGACAAGCTGAGGGGCGGCAGCGGGGGTAGCAGCGGCGGCGGCAGCCTGCCCAAGGACTCGCTGATCGTAGCTGACTTTGTCACCGGCGAGGGCACCTCGGACAGCGCTATCGGTGGGGGCATTTCCTTACACACTCGCTCATCACGAGCTTCCGGTTCTGATTTTGAATTTTCAGAGTCTTACTTGTAAATCAACCCGGTGGCATTGTGCGGGGCCTACACGGTCATTGTGTATAGGTATATACACACACACACACGCTACGCTACGGGCATCGATGATCGCGCACACACGTGTATACATATATCATGTGTGTATAGCCGATATGCTCGTTATACACCTTTTGCTCAAGTACAAAGATTTTTGGGACCTAAATTGAACAACGCGACTCGACACACGTATACCTACGATATAATGTTATACAGTATATACACCTACCTACATCCCTCTAAACAAGATAATAATATATATATACCTTATACGATGGGTGCGTAAATATATATATGTTTTTGGAGATCTGTGCCGCTGATATGACATCGAGTGGGTCACTCGTCTTTTTATCGACAAGTATTTTATTTTTATTTCATCAAAATATATTTAAAAAATACACGCACTCGCACACTTGAAATCTCACACATCTGTTGGGATGAGCTACACAAAAAAGGCACTACACTTAATAGGACCAGCGGCGGCGATACGAATGAAAAAACGATAAATAGAAACCTAAATAGTATATATATATATTTATTTTTTTTTT